CCCTAGTAGACTGGCATCCTTGGATATGAGTTCAATATACAAGTCAGGATCAAAAATAGATCAAATATGGATTTGAATCTGATAATAATTAGAACCTAATTATGTAAAATAATGGATCATGGATTAAAAATACAGATTAGAGACATGTCAATAGATTGAAAAAAAATCAACAATGTTTTACAGTAGTTTTTAACATCAATTTGAGATTTTTTTTTGTTAAAAAGTTGGAGAATTTTAACATATTCAACATTATGGTTAAATAATAGTGAATTTTATATAATGATTTTTTTCTGACTTTGCACGAGCAAAAAAAATTCATGGATTTGAACAAAAAAAAAAATGACCCCAGAAATCTGCAAAAACCTTTTATTTTTAATAGTCAGTTGCGCTTAGTTTAATTTGTGACGTATATAAATGTAGATAGTAAAAAAATGTTGATAAGATAGTGAGGTCCACAAAGCACTGCCCAGGGGCTGCAATCAGGTTTGCCACCCCACTGGTCAGGGATAGCAAGCATTGGCCCTTTATATATATGATAAAAATATAGTTTTAATGTATGCTACATTTAGGAGTTAAATGCTTGATATCAGAGATAGAGCATATGTAAATATAAAAGTGGCCACTGAGGTCAACACCCAATGGCAACAAGATATTTAATCCAGATGTTGAATATTTAGTTAAATTTTTTAATCCTATTTAGGATTAAAAAATTTAATTAAATATCCAAAAAATACTTTGATATTTCCTCTTAATAATAACATAAAATATTGACAATAAAACTTTGTTTTCACTAAGTTTTGAGCAATTCTTCATCATAGTATTCTAATTTTTAGCAATTTTGCAAAGTTATCTACTTTACTATAGGGATGCATTGAGAATGAGAACGAAAGAGATTACCAGTGGTCAAGATTGAAAGCAAGCATTACTGATAGAATAGGGCTATTATATGTATAATGAAAATGCATTGCAAATATAGGAATGCATTGCAAATAAGGAAGAAAGGGATTGTCAGTGGTCAGGAATGAATGCAAGCATTACTGATAGAATAGGGATGTTATATGTATAATGGAAATGCATTGCTAATGATTTTACTATAGGAATGCATTGCAAATGAGGAAGAAAGGGATTGTCAGTGGTCAGGAATGGATGCAAGCATTACTGATAGAATAGGGATATTATATGTATAAGTAAATGTATACATACGATAGATGCATTGCTAATGATTCGATTCCAGGAATGAATTGCAAGTTAGAGAGTGTGGAAAATATTTAATGTGCTTAAGACAACACACAGGAAATGTTAGTTTCCAAATTGTGGGAAGTGAGTTCAAATTCTGATTACATACAGATTATTACAATTAAGTGTAAGAATACAAAGAAATAATAAGATGGAATAAAACTACTAATAAAATAATAGTAATAATGAAGAGTGTATAGAGCCAGAGTGTTGGGATAAAAAGCAACAATAATAAGATGGAATAAAACTAATAATAAAATAATAGTAATAATGAAGAGTGTATAGAGCCAGAGTGTTGGGATAAAAAGCAACAATAATAAGATGGTATAAAACTAATAATAAAATAATAGTAATAATGAAGAAAAGTGTATAGAGCCAGAGTGTTGGGATAAAAAAGCAACAATAATAAGATGGAATAAAACTAATAAAAAAATAATAGTAATAATGAAGAGTGTATAGAGCCAGAGTGTTGGGATAAAAAGCAACAATAATAAGATGGTATAAAACTAATAATAAAATAATAGTAATAATGAAGAGTGTATAGAGCCAGAGTGTTGGGATAAAAAGCAACAATAATAGGATGGTATAAAACTAATAATAAAATAATAGTAATAATGAAGAGTGTAGAGACAGAGTGTTGGGATAAAAAGCAACAATAATAAGATGGTATAAAAACTAATAATAAAATAATAGTAATAATAATATAGAGCCAGAGTGTTGGGATAAAAAAGCAAATAATAATAAGATGGTATAAAACTAATAATAAAATAATAGTAATAATGAAGAGTGTATAGAGAGCCAGAGTGTTGGGATAAAAAGCAACAATAATAGGATGGTATAAAACTAATAATAAAATAATAGTAATAATGAAGAGTGTAGAGACAGAGTGTTGGGATAAAAAAGCAACAATAATAAGATGGTATAAAACTAATAATAAAATAATAGTAATAATGAAAGTGTATAGAGCCAGAGTGTTGGGATAAAAAAAAGCAACAATAATAAGATGGTATAAAACTAATAATAAAATAATAGTAATAATGAAGAGTGTATAGAGCCAGAGTGTTGGGATAAAAAGCAACAATAATAAGATGGTATAAAACTAATAATAAAATAATAGTAATAATGAAAAGAGTGTATAGAGCCAGAGTGTTGGGATAAAAAGCAACAATAATAAGATGGAATAAAACTAATAATAAAATAATAGTAATAATGAAGAGTGTATAGAGCCAGAGTGTTGGGATAAAAAGCAACAATAATAAGATGGAATAAAACTAGTAATAAAATAATAGTAATAATGAAGAGTGTATAGAGCCAGAGTGCTGGGATAAAAAGCAACAATAATAAGATGGAATAAAACTAGTAATAAAATAATAGTAATAATGAAAGTGTATAGAGCCAGAGTGTTGGGATAAAAAGCAACAATAATAAGATGGAATAAAACTAGTAATAAAATAATAGTAATAATGAAGAGTGTATAGAGCCAGGGTGTTGGGATAAAAAAGCAACAATAATAAGATGGAATAAAACTAGTAATAAAATAATAGTAATAATGAAGAGTGTATAGAGCCAGAGTGTTGGGATAAAAAACAACAATAATAAGATGGTATAAAACTAATAATAAAATAATAGTAATAATGAAAGAGTGTATAGAGCCAGAGTGTTGGGATAAAAAGCAACAATAATAAGATGGTATAAAAACTAGTAATAAAATAATAGTAATAATGAAGAGTGTATAGAGCTAGAGTGTTGGGATAAAAAGCAACAATAATAAGATGGAATAAAACTAGTAATAAAATAATAGTAATAATGAAGAAGTTAATATAGAGCAGGGTGTTGGGATAAAAAAGCAACAATAATAAGATGGTATAAAACTAATAATAAAATAATAATAGTAATAATGAAGAGTGTATAGAGCCAGAGTGTTGGGATAAAAGCAACAATAATAAGATGGAATAAAACTAACAATAATAGTAATAATGAAGAGTGTATAGAGCCAGAGTGCTGGGTTAAAAAGCAACAATAAGAAGGAATATAACTAGTAATAAAATAATAGTAATAATGAAGAGTGTATAGAGCCAGGGTGTTGGGATAAAAAGCAACAATAATAAGATGGTATAAAACTAATAATAAAATAATAGTAATAATGAAGAGTGTATAGAGCCAGAGTGTTGGGATAAAAAGCAACAATAATAAGATGGAATAAAACTAGTAATAAAATAATAGTAATAATGAAGAGTGTATAGAGCCAGAGTGCTGGGATAAAAAGCAACAATAATAAGATGGAATAAAACTAGTAATAAAATAATAGTAATAATGAAGAGTGTATAGAGCCAGAGTGCAGGGATAAAAAGCAACAATAATAAGATGGAATAAAACTAGTAATAAAATAATAGTAATAATGAAGAGTGTATAGAGCCAGGGTGTTGGGATAAAAAGCAACAATAATAAGATGGAATAAAACTAGTAATAAAATAATAGTAATAATGAAGAGTGTATAGAGCCAGAGTGTTGGGATAAAAAGCAACAATAATAAGATGGAATAAAACTAGTAATAAAATAATAGTAATAATGAAGAGTGTAGAGAGCCAGAGTGTTGGGATAAAAAGCAACAATAATAAGATGGAATAAAACTAGTAATAAAATAATAGTCATAATGAAAGGTGTTAGAGCCAGATATAAAAAGCAACAATAATAAGATGGAATAAAACTAGTAATAAAATAATAGTCATAATGAAGAAATTGTATAGAGCCAGAGTGCTGGGATAAAAAGCAACAATAATAAGATGGAATAAAACTAGTAATAAAATAATAGTAATAATGAAGAGTGTATAGAGCCAGAGTGTTGGAATAAAAAGCAACAATAATAAGATGGAATAAAACTAGTAATAAAATAATAGTAATAATGAAGACTGTATTGGGTGTTGGGATGAAAAGTAACAATAAAATGAAATAAAACTGATAACAAAATAATATTATAGTATATCAATAATTTCTATTTCTGTAAGAAAATTTTCAGTGTTGAAAATTGACAAAATGTTAAAATATGATTTTGTTATTTATAAATATGGATTCTTAATTGCTGCCTCTGGCTTTCTTTTCAGGCAACATGATTCTATTCTTCTTAGTAAAAACCACCATTTCCGCAAGAATCAGAAATATTTTCCCGCTCACAGCCATTCACTCAAGTCCTAAGCATCAATAGCAGGCATCATCGTGACCCTGAAGTCGCCAATGATATTCCGATTAGATTAACTTTGTTTCACATGGATTAACATAATCCTACATACATAAATAAATAATCCAAACAGATGATTATTCAATGCACAGATTAATTGCCATAGCGAAAAACCAGGCAAGAATACGAGTTTAAGTAATAAGGAGATTGATTTCTAGATTGGATTTTGTGAATACTGATTAAGTGAAGTCAGGAGACAAATCTCTTAAAATATATCAAGGTAATAGCTACTTTGACGCATCTCAAGGTATAGGTTGGCCTGAGTTTATGGTGCTTACAATATAATAATTGTTATTTAATTTTGAAATCAGGTTTTTATTTTTATATTTGTGTCTATAACTGTCTGAATCTCTTGTAGAGGACCGTGGCGGCAATGTTGAGTAGAAGAACACATGTGGGGTTAAAATTTCCCTGCTAGCCAGTCCAACTACATGAGAAAGTTGGAGTTTAAGTCCAAAGAAGACAAGGAAAAACAAACACAAGACCGATAAATATATGTAAACAAAGAAGGAGAGAAAAAGAAAAAAGATTAAAGATGAAAAAGAGAAGAAGAAAGAGAGAGAGAGAGAAAGAAAGAAAGAAAGAAAGAGAGAGAGAGAGGAGGAATGCTAATAAGATAGACAATAAGAACAGAGGGATAAAATAGGAACTAGAGAATAAAGAATAAACGTGAAAGAGAGTGAGTGAGTGAGAAAGCCCGAGAGAAGAATAAAGACATAAAGAAACGAAGAAGAGAGAAGGAAAAGAGGGCAAGAAGAATTAAGAAAAGAAAAAGAAAAGTAAAAAAAAGATAATAAAATGGAGAGTTCGACAAAGAGGAAAAAAGAAAGAAGGGGGAGAGAGAGAGATTGAAAAGAGAGCTCAAGGAGAAGGTATAAAAGACAAAAGAACAAGAAAGAAAGAAAGAATGAAAGAAAGAAGGAGAGAAAAAGAAAAAAAGATTAAAGATGCCGAGAATGAAAAAGAGAAGAAGAAAGAGAGAGAGAGAGATAGAAAGAAAGAGAGAGAGAGAGAGAGAGAGGAGGAATGCTAACAACACAAGAGAAAGAGAAAGAAAGAATGAACCGTGGCGGCGATGTTGAGTATGAGTAGAAGAATACACGTGAGTTAAGATTTTCCTGCTAGCCGGTCCAACTACATGAGAAAGTTGGAAAAACAAGGAAAAACAAACACAAGATCAATAAATATATGTAAACAAATATATGTATTAAAAACAAGAAAGGTTACAAGTTACACGGACAGTTAGATGGACAGAGTGCGTGTGGTGAATATTATATGTGTGTGGGTTGTGGTGAGTGTTCGTATGTATGTGTATTGTGC